TCTTTTTCTCTCCCCCCACCTATTTTTTTCTTTTCTCCCTCACTTTTCATTCCCCTTCCCCCCTACTTCGAAAATTTTTCTGTTTTTTTTTCTTCTTTCCACCTCTCTTTTGATTTATCTTTTCTCTTTTCCAAAAATTCGAAATCTCTTCTTTCCCACCCTCTTTTCTTATTTTCTGATTTATTTTTATTTATTCTGAAAATTCGAATTTCTTGGCGGCAACCCTAAATCTGATTAGGTGTTAGCCTTTCTTGTTTTCGGCACACGTTTTGACCCCCTGGGGGTAACGAAGTGCTGCCAAAATTTTCTGATTTTCTCTTACTTAGTCTTTTCGGCACACTTCGACCCCATGGGGGTAACAAAATGCTGTCAAAATTTTTGAAAAAAAAATAAAAATAAAAAAGAATTAGATGACCCATTTCTCCCCACCTCCTCACACACTTATTTACTTATTTCTTTATTTATTATTTTTTTATTTATTTTCTGAAATTTCTTTTTTATTATTTGCGGCATCTCTAGTGTGCTCACCTCGGTCTCTCCTTTTCCCTTGGCACATTCCTGACCCCGTGGGGGGTAGGGAACTGCTGCCGAAAAAATTTAAAAAAATAAATATTGTTTCCCTTCACATCTCTTTACTTATTTCTTTAATTATTTAATTATTTATTTATTTTCTTATTTATTTTTATTTTCTCTCGAAATCTCGCTGTTTATTTATTTTTCTCCCGTCCCCCCCCCTCTATGCTTGCTATTTTACTTTCTTGATTAGGTCACAGATACCCTACCCTAGCCACTTAAACCTCGGTTAGGGTTTTCTTAGGGTTTTTGTAGGGTTTAGGGTTCCTCAAAACCCCCCTACTTCCCTGTCCTCTTCGGGCACCCTGGACCCGAACCACCCCTCCCCCTTTGACGGCGCCCGTGTTAGCCTTGCTAGCGCCGTTCGCCGCTTTCTACCGCGGACTTCCCCCTACGCCCTCCGCTCACGCGGACCTCTTCTGGCCCCCTCTAGTCCGGTCCGTCATCTCCCCATGGCCGACGGTGCGTCACACGCCGCCGACACGGCGATGACCACGACATCGGGCTCCACACCCGTGCCGGCGGACCAGGGCCATCAGCCCCGGGGGGATCTACACACCCTTCTCACCTCCCTCCTTGCGCCCATTCAGGCGCAACTCGCGACCCTTGCGGTCATCCAGGCGCAACTCGCGACCCTCGCGCCCTTACAGACGCAGGTGGCGACCCTTGCCGCCGGCATGCAGCAACTCTAGGACGCTGCGTGTCCGTCATATCCTGGCTCCAGTCCGGGTCCCCCGTTCTCCGACAGGGTGGCCACGGCGGAGCTTCCTCCTCCATTGCCCTTGACCCGGCCATCTTGGTGACTGTCCACGCCCCTAGCATGACGGCCGCCACGATCCAGGCCCCCCTTCAGTCTACGGGCGCACCCGCCCAGATCCCGGTCACTATGGCCACGGTACAACAACTCGCTACCATGGTCTCAACTTTTTCAGGTGCCCCGCTTCTCCCTCCCCTTCGCACGACCGCAGTGCCACCTGGCTCTCCCCCCTCTGGGATGCCCCGTGCCGCTTGTGCGTCCACCCCCTCCACTCTTTCTCCTGCCACCCCTCGATCGACCTACGTTCGAGGTCTCGCGGACGAGATTGCCCAACTCCGGGCCGACCTCGCCCTCTTACACCTTCAGCCACCCCCACCCTCACAGGTGGCCGCGCCTTCGGGCGCACCCCTACCTCCTCTACCCTTCCTCCCACGCAGGCTCGCTTTCCACGCCCTGCACCCTATACATTTCCTTCCTACCTTCTTCCTACTCCCGCGCCTGCTGCGACCTCTTCTACCGCAGCACCCTCGTAGTCTGGCGCTGTTGCCACCATCGCTCCCCCATGCGGCCCAGGCGCACAGTCAGCGGCGCCCCTTTCTCCAGGACCTGCGCCGACTTACTCAGTCGTGGCACAGGCCTCCGCTCCTCGATCCCCTCGCCGCCAAAACGGTGGCGCACCACTCATCCGCTTGTCGGACATTGCCTTGTATGATGGTACAGGCATACGCGTGTCTCGGTGGCTGAAGTCTGCCACCCACACACTCCAGCTCATGGGCGCCACACCCGAGACGTGGGTGGGTCACCTCTCCACGCGCCTGCGTGGCGGTCCTTTCCAGGCCTGGGAGGATTTATATGCGTACTCCCTTCGTGAGGGTCGGACTCCGATCTTTGTGGATTTCCAGGCGTTCCTCGAGGATCGCTTCGGAGCCCGATACGACGTGACTGACGCCTTCGAGCGTATCGTCACTACACGCTGGTCCGGCTCTGGTGGCGCTGCCGGCCTGGATCGCCACATCCAGGTCTTTCAGGACGCCCGCCTCGTTTGCAACCTGGCGTTCCTCCCCGAGGCTGCCCTTATTGATCGTTTCTTGACCAGCCTTCCGCTCAAGTAACGCTCCGAGCTATGGCGGTACGAGTCCACATCGGCCCCACAGGCTTACGAGGCCGCCAGGGACCACCAGCGAATGCGAGCCCGTCTTCACCCCGCCTCCTCCTCCCAACCCCAGCGCACGGGCTACGCCTCCTCCTCCTCTCACGACACTTTCCAACGCCGTTCCCCTTTCCGCGGTCGCACCCGCCGTTCCACGCAGCAGGGCCGCCACTTCTCGCTCTGCTTCAGCGCGCTGGAGTATGGTGAGCAGGATGTTGTTGCCCCACTGTCACCTAAGGGCGACCACAACGACGACCTCGATCTCTGCGAGGCCGTCCACTATCACTTGGAGGACTCTACCCTCCCTGCAGCTGAGCGCCTTCAACTCGCGCTCTCCGCCCTCTCTCGGACACGCAGCCGCCCCGGTCACGCTCGCGCGTCGCCCCCCAAGGTCCCCCAGGAGGACCTCCCTAAGGGCTTTGTCCCTCCTCGTGGTGTCCTTTCCGCTGAAGAGCGCGCGACTATTCTGGGCCGGCATGGGTGTTTGCGCTGCCGCTTGGACGGTCATACCTCCTCGCGGTGCCCTTACACTACCGCCCTCGACAGCCACTACGCTGACCTTTCTCGTCAGCGTCGTGCTCAGTCCCCCCCCGGCGCCTCATGTTCCCGCGGCGCCTCCTAGCCACGGTGAAGTGTACACCTTCGCCCTCCTCAGTAGTGGGCTTCCCGACATCTCCGTCGCGGTTCGCCCCTCTCACTACTGGAGTTGAGGTATCGCAGGACTCGACAGAGTGTACTCAGCCCTCTGTCGCAGTACCGTCTGCGCCTCCGCCGACCACCGTCTCCCCTCCTTCCCCGCCGCAACTACCGACGCGTCGAGCCATTCGCTCAGCCCGTTGCAGCGAGCAGCTTGCTACCCGCGAGGACGTTGTGTCCTCTCTTCTGCACTTGAGCATGCTCCAGGCTCGTCAGGAGCGACTCACCGTCCATGTCACTGCACTGCGTCGCTTTCTCACCATCCTCTCTGACCCTGATCGCACCCTCCCGATCATTCCAGTACGACTCGGGACCTCCACGAGGGTGTACTCAGCGCTGTGGGATTCCGGTTCTCAGGGCGACTTCATTCACCCACACGTGGTGAAGGAAGCCCGCTTACCCACGACAGGATCTCCGACTCCCATCTCCGTTACCCTAGGGGATGACAAGACCTAGCGCTTCTTCGATCTGACGGTCACCGACCTCCCCTTCTTCCTCACTCTCGAGCCGACTGATCGTTCCCCGGCGTCTCGTCGCCACCGTTCCTCTGCACATTTCGATGTGATGGAGACAAGCTATGACTTCATTCTCGGTACTCCGTGGTCTCGTCGGTTCCACAACACCGAGGCCGATTGGGCGACCAACACTCTCGTTCTCAAAACGAAGTGTGGACAGACGTATCGCGTACCTTTCATAGGTACCACTGCGACACCATGCCCCGATCCTCCTCCCCCGGAGCCTTCAGTGCCCACACCATCTCCCTCTATCACTGTCACCTCGCCTCGACAATTCGCTCACTTCATTCGACAGGACGACGTCATCTTCTTTATGGTGGACGTGACGGATCTCTTACACTATGATCCACCCTGTCTCGACGCCGAGCTCATCCCTCTGGAGCCAGATCCTCCCTCTATCTCCATGACTCCCATCTCTACTTCCGTCCCTCCGCCGTCCGTCGAGTCCACCCCGTCGTCGCTCGCTGACGCTGACGCTGAGGAACTCGCACGATACACGGCTGACCTGGAGCCCGCAGTTCGTGACCTCATCCGAGAGTACCACGACCTTTTCCCATCGTCGTTCTCGTACGTCGGCATCCCACCGATGCGTGACGTCGAGCACTCCATTCAGCTTGTGCCTGACTATCGTGTTCACCACCAGGCACCCTACAAACTCTCGATCCCCGTGGCCACCGAACTCAAGCGTCAGCTTGAGGAACTCCTGAGACAGGGTTTCATTAAACCCAACAACTCCCCGTGGGGTGCACCCGTCCTCTTTGCTCGCAAAGCAGATGGAACTCTCCGTCTCTGCATCGACTATCGTGGTCTCAACCGCTACACGGTTAAGAACAGCTACCCCATGCCTCGTTCCGATGAGTTGTTCGACCGCCTAGCAGGCAACCGCTTCTTTACGAAGATTGATCTTCGTAGCGGTTACCATCAGATCCGCGTCGCTGCAGCCGACCAGCCGAAGACCGCGTTCCGATCGCGATTCGGCCACTACGAGTTCACGGTGATGCCATTCGGCCTCACCAATGCACCCGCCACCTTTCAGAGGGCGATGAACGACATCTTCA